AATCGAACCAGGCGAAATGAGCTTTGACAAATACCTTAGCTTGCGGTCGCGCAGCCGCAGGTCGTGGTGGAAAAACGCCCTCGCATTCCATGAAGTACACGTAAGCCCCGCGTGGGAGGGGAGGTTCCCTCTCCACTGTTTGAAAAATGTGTCAAAGACTCCACTCGATCTCCTGTGAATTCGCAAGGTGTTTCTGAATGTTCTGAGCAATGGTCGTCTTGTCCATGCGGAGTTCGTTGAGATTGGCGGCGGCCCATTCGACTTTGTGATCCGAATCTGCACTCGGGATGGCCCGCAGGAGTGCCTTCCACCTGTGCGACAGCTCACCACGGGCCTTGTTCGCGAACAGCTCGATGTCCCGATGGAGTTCGTTGATTGTCCTGCGCAGCTGCTTGGGGACGAGCTCAACCTTGACCTGGCGCAATGACGTGTCCGCAGAGACATGCACCTCCACGTTCTGGTTCTGAACATCCACCGCGCTGAAGCGTCTCCAGTCGTTCGGGCCACGCTTGAGCTGGGACAGGCACATGTTAACTTTCTTCGACGCATAGGCGGGGGCACCTCTGAACTGCAGGGTGAACCTCTTGGAGGTCGGCTCAGAAACCAAGTCGAAATCATTGTCTGCACAGTTGGCTGCCTCCAGCCATTCTCTGAGACTTTGGGAAATGCTTGCTTTAGAAATCAACGTTTTGGTACGGCATATGATGATGGTCGGACCGGCCTCACGCTGGAACGAAGAATTGAGCTCGATCTTCGTGGACGTCTCAGTACGCATGATCCCGAGCTCGGCCTGCATCTGGGTGATCTTAGCGTCGAGCGACTGAATGAGTTTGGCCTGGTCTGCCTGGGTAGCTTTCACCTTCGACACGCGGTGTTCCACTTGTTGCCCCAACTGGGAGCAGCTCCCTTGCACAGTGGATACCAGGGCGGAAACAGAAAATTGGATGGCGTTGATTGCCGTGAGAAGTTCATCCTTCGTTGTGTCCACATATGCACGCAACTCATTGGCTTCACCCTGTCCATGCTCGTCCTGTGCTGGGCGGCGTGCAGGTGGAGCAGCGGCGCGGCGAGCGGGGGCGTCAGCTCGGCGAGCAGTGGCAGCACGACCGTCATCATGAGGGGCAGCGCCACGGGCCGCCCGACGGCCCCCAGCAGGCGCAGCGGGGCCTTCATTGGCCGACTCGTAGTCTTCGTCCATCACGTCGACGTACGGGGAGCGGCTCCTTTCTGAGTGTCTGTCGCTGCCGGGGAAGGTTAGCATAGTCTCCAGAAGTTCGGCCACACTCTCCGCCTCGGCGTGGTCCTTGGCGGACGATCTGATCTGGGAGGCGCAACAAAAGCCGACTGGTGGATGCCAGAAAGAGACCCGCGGCGCACGAGCGCTCCCGTGGGGATCGTGAGTGCACAATGGGAAGGCCCAAAGGGCCTGGAGACAATGGCCACGGACGGGCCACAAAGCTAATCGCTGATTGTCGGGCGTCTATAACCCTTCACAACGTTCAGTCTTGAGCCAAAATGGCTTGAGCCAAAACGGCTACGGACTAATCCTCCAACCCTCCTCCTCCTTCTCCTCCTCTTCCTCCGCGTTCTCCTCTTGCCCGTCCCACTGCCCCTGGTTTCCTTCCTCCCGCTCGCGAGGGGAGACGGAAGTGAGTGGGGGTTCCGATCCCAAGTCTTTACGATTGTCCACGGAATAGTGGAACGTTGGACGTCGACCTTTGCGCTCGGAAGTGGGACTGGCCGCTCTCACTATGGTGGAATCGCCCCAGTCAACTTGTCCCACACTGCGTGGACTTACCAGGGCCAATTGATGGATGAGGGGACCTTAGCCAGCTGCATCTTGGTAGCGCTCTGCGGCGCCATCCCTGTGATGCGGTACTTTGCTTTAGTCAGCGCGGACGTGGCATCAGTTCTCCACACTTCGAAGGCGACTTCCTTCGCCTCCTGGGTGCCAAACTGACGTTGATGCCCACTCGTTTGTCCGCTCGGACTGCACCATGCACGTTGTGCTTCGTCGAGATGTTGCACGCCTCCTACTCCTATAGCATGGTTTGGTGGCCACCTTGGTACATCGCAGTGATGTGGTCGCTGGGCGGAGGCCCTTTGGTGCCATGGTAGCTGGTGTCGAACTGGAGGCCTCGCTGCCTGGATGTAGAGAGAACCAGTGGATCGCCAACTGCCAACTGGCCACATGCCGAACGTTGTCGTGAATCTGCGCTTTCCGACTGCTTTGCCGTGGCGCCCTGGGAACTGCATGGTTTCATATAGTCGTACAGTTCGAGAGCGGAGCGAAAGCACGGCAATGACCGTCCGCGTGGTCGGCGCCACGCTGTTTGCGAAGGGCGTCTCTGTTGACTGACTCATGGCATTCCTTCGCGTGTGCTGTGCTGTGCCTGGCCTGCCAGGGATGCGCTTGCCGCTGATGGGCGCAGCACCAGAAAACTGTCAGTGAACAGTTCCCTCGAGCGCGAATGTGACCGCAAGACCACCAACCTCACGGATAGCGGCGCGAATCTAACTGCGTTGCCAGCTGAATCAATAGTGACTCGCACGACGTTTTGGAAGCATATCGCCTCGTCTCGTCCGAGCTGGAAAATGGTCCTCTGAATGGGTCCTGGCGTAGTTCCTCAATTAGGATTGCTTTACGGGTTCGCACTCGGTTAAAGGCTGGTGCCTCGGGAGACTACTTTCCCCGTTCCGCAAAATTTCCCCGGGTTCCTCGGGTTCGTCGGGCTCCTCGAACTCTCTGTGTTCCTCTGGTTCACCCGGGTTCCTCGGGTTCTTCGGGTTCCCCCGGTTCCTCGGGTTCTTCGGGTTCCCTGGGTTCCACCCCGGGTTTCCCGGGTTCACCGGGTTCCTCGGTTTCCACGGGTTCCTCGAATTCCCCAGGCTCCTTGGGTTCACCCGGGTTGCTCAGAGTCATCGGGTTCCCCAGGATCCCCCCAAGCAATGCCGAGCAACGCCAAGCAACGCCAAGCAACGCCAAACAATGCCAAGAAACGTCAACCGATGCCAAGCAAGTCCAACCAATGCCAAGCAATGCGAAGCAATGGAAGGTAATGCGAAACAGCGCGAAGCAATGCCAAACAACGAAAAGCAATGCCAAGCAATGCCAAGCAACGCCAAGCAACGCCAAGCACTGCCAAGCAACGCCAAGCAATGCCAAGCAATGCCAAGCAATGCCAAGCAATGCCAAGCAATGCCGAGCAATGCCAAGCAATGCCAAGCAATGCCGAGCAATGCCAAGCAATGCCAAGCAATGCCAAGCAATGCCAATCAATGCCAAACAACTCCAAGCAATGCCAGGCAAGTCCGAGCAACGCCAAGCGATGCCAAGCATTTTCAGGGAAATGTCAGGCACTGCGCCCATGCAGTAGGAAGTTTTCCCCTACTTGGGATCGTGCTGGGTTCATGTTGGTAGCCTTGGCCGTACGGCGAAGGACTGGGGTGAGGATCTAGCGTCCTGAGTAGTAGGCGTCGGTATGTCCCTAAGCTGTCTACGCGCCAGTGGTTTGCCTTGTGTTCGGGTATGTTGTGGCAGGCCTCCGCCTTCCTCTAGAGCGTGGAGTGAGAAGCTACTGGGCACGGTGGTTGAAGGAACGTCCCGACACTGTGCATCTCAGCATCTGAGAAGAGCCTTGCACATACTCTGGTGGGTTTGGGCGTCGGCCGTGGTCCCTGTGGGTCACGGTCTGAGGCCCTGTGATGCGTGAAGACGTCGCGAAGCATGGCGTAGCTGTTATTTCCCCTTCGCGATCTCATTCGCTCGACGAGCTGGAGCGGTGCTGTTGGTAACGAATTTCAATACCGGTGTTGCGTTAGTGATCATGTTCGTCGTACGCAGCGACTTTTCGGTCGACGCCACCACTGCTATGGGGCGCGGCGACGCAAGCTTCTCTTTTCTGAACAAATTGCTATCCGGTAATGTTATTGTTTGGCGGCCCTTGCCAGGTGGTTTGGCCTGTCGTGGTGCAGGGGGCGCACGGCGGGGGCCTTTCGGACCCATGGCGCGCGCGCGGGACTGAAAGGATGTGACGCCAATTTGTCGCGGCCAAGGGGGCGCCATGTCCGGTCTCGCGAGGCAAGAATGGATGCGGGGCGCATGGCGTCTGGGCTCGGTCTGAGCAAACCTCTTCAGCCGAGATTGAAAGAAGGAGGAGAAGGAGGGAGAAGGGGAGAGAGGGGAGAAGGGAGGAGGGGAAGAAAGATGATGAACTCACGCCACCGAAACCCGCATGCTCTGACGGAAGCACCGTGCCTAAGGAACGGAACGCCATGTTTTCGGGCGGCCCAGCGCAAGGCAAGCAAAGACCTGCTCGGGGAGAGGTAGGTTGGGTGTCCTTGCGTTCGCCCCTCTGCGGCGGGGCCATGTCGGGGGACCATAAGCGGCGAGCATTGAAAACGAGAGGGGGAGGTCCGACGAGTCCAAAATTCTCAGGGCGAGCGCGTCCGAGGGGATATTTGCCAGGGGCCAGCGACAGGGCCCCTTGCAAACGACTTCAGGAGGGTTTTTGCTCCCCTGCGGGGCCCGCCAGGCACTCCTTGCCACAGCCAGCCGTCGGCGGCAGGGGGCTGGGGGGCACGCTGTGGAGGTGCCTCGCCCTGCCCCGCCCAGAGACTCTGCCCCAATGGAAAAAACTGCGGTCTGAGAGCTCGCTCCCAGAAGGCGGGAGGAGGCGGGATAGGATGGAGGGACGAGGGAGGAGGGAGAGAAGGAGGGGGGGACGAAGAGGGAGTGGATCGGATCAACACTCCACGTAAGCAGGGTCACTCCCTGTCAGAGGGGCGAGAGCCGCGCTAAGTCGGGCCCGACAATCGGCAGTAAACGGAGATGTGAAGAGGGATGGGGGAAGGGGCGGGAAGTCCTGGCAGGAGGAGGGAAGGAGGAAAGGACAGGGAGGAGAGGGAAGGAGGAAGGGAATGGAAGGGAGGGAAGGAGAGAGGAGGAAGGACGTAAAACTTAGGAGGAAGGGATGGGGAGGAGGATGAGGTCGCCAAGCCCAGCGAACTTTTTTAGGATAAGCGACCTCGCGCCGCGCCGCAGTCGCATCACGCTTGTGCGCCTCAGTCACTGCAAATATGGGGGACGAACACTGACATGAACATCAACGGTCGGAGGCCCGCTCGGATTTCTCGGATTGGCACTGGGGCCCCCTGGCGCCGCCTTCGGCGCCGCCCCTGGCGCGCTCTCCGCTCCAGGGAGGGGGGTCCAACACCGATGCGGGGAACCTACGCGGACCTCCGAAAGTTAATGTTTACGCCGCTTTTCTTCCCCGATGCAGAAGCGACAGCCTGCGTGCCAACAGTCACCGCAAGCTCGCGCGGGCGCCCGCGGCGGCGGCCCGCTCCTGGGGCAATGGGCCCCGAGCCGCTGCGGCGCTCCCTCGGAGCCGCGGGCAGTCGCCTGCTGCCGAGGGCCGCCGAGGGGGGACCAGGGGCAGCCACAGCTCCACAACTGAGCCCGAGGCCTGTGCTGCAGGGGCCCAATGAGACACAAATAGACACATGTTCAATGATCCCCACCATTTCCCAACCATCCTGTGGTGGGTTCGGTCCTCGTTTTGAAGAGACAGCGCCCCGCGTTCCGCAGTCGTTCCCTCCTCCTACCCCTCCTCCTTGCTTCAATCCCTGCTTCTGTCCTCCGCATGTCAACCACTTCGGCACAACAAGTCACTCAGTACAGCATTTCGAGGCCCCGCAAGGAACTCAACCGCAGGCCCCAATGGCAGGGTTCACATGGCAGAAGCGTCCCATTTTGGCTCACCCGTCACCCGGCTCGTGGTGCCGTAGGGAACTCCACGGAATGCCCCAGTGGCAGGGTTCGCATGGCGGCGCCGCCCCATTTCGCCGCAAAACGAGTCGTGGCCCCGCAGTGAGCTCCACCGAAAGCGATCCCACGCCATGGTACTCACCGCATCTGCACCGACCCTGGCCGGGACCACGCTGGCCCAGGAACGGTGCATACGCCCTCCTGGCTCGGCCAGGCAGGCATCTGCAACGATCCATGGTGGATGAGAACAGCGGATCTCTCGGGTCGGCGATGGACACCCTTTTCCGTGGCGCGCGGAGCGCGCCAAGGGCGGCGCCGGAGGCGCCGCTACTGGAGGGGCCCCCCCCCGATCCAAGATATATGTGCGGATTGCGGAAAAAGGTATGTTTATGCAATTTGTTATTTTCTAATCTCTCGGCGCGCTCGGGGCGGGGGAGGCGGGGGGGGGGGCCGGCGGGTGCCCGATGCCCGTCGGCCGCAAAACGGAATGCCCCCCGATAGCCACAAGGTGTGGAACTGGGGCTCCAACGATATAGTGTCTTGTCCCACGGCAACTCGCATGTGCGGATGTACGGTGTACGGATGTGCGGCGCACAAGAGTGTAGTAATGGCGGTGGTGGTGGTGGTGGCGGTAAAGTTGGTGTTGGTGGTGGTGGCGGTGGTGGTGGTTGTAAGAACCGTAATAGTCGTACTGTTACTAGTAATGGTGATGGCAGTAGTAGTCGTAGTAGTAGTAGTAGTAGTAGTAGTAGTAGTAGTAGTAGTAGTAGTAGTAGTGGTAGTAGTAGTAGTAGTAGTCGTCGTCGTCGTCGTCGTCGTCGTCGTCGTCGTCGTCGTCGTAGTAGTAGTAGTAGTAGTTGTTAAAGTAGTAGTAGTAACAGTACCAGTAGTAGTAGTAGAAGTAGTCGTAGTAGTAGTAGTAGTAGTAGTAGTAGTAGTAGTAGTAGTAGTAGTAGTAGTAGTAATAGTAGTAGTAGTAGTAGTAGTAGTAGTAGTAGTACTACTACAACTAGTAGTAGTAGTACTAGTAGTAGTAGTAATACTAATAGTAGTAGTAGTAGAAGCGGTAGTCGTAGCAGCAGTAGTAGTAGTAGTAGTCGTAGTAGTAGTGGTGGTGGTAGTAGTAGTAGTAGTAGTGGTGGTAGTAGTAGTAGTAGTAGTAGTAGTGGTAGTAGTAACAGTTGTGGTGGTAGTCGTGGTTGTAGAAGTCGTAGAAGCAGTAGTCGCCGTAGTGGTAGCAATAGTAGTAGTAATAGTAAAAATAATAGTCGCAGTCGTAGTAGTAGTAATAGTAGTTTATGTAGTAGTAGCAGTAGTCGTCGCAAACGTAGTCGCAGTCGTAGTCGTAGTCGTAGTTGTAGTGGTAGTAGTAGTTGTAGCAGTAGTAGTAGTAGTCGTAGTAGTAGTAGTAGTCGTAGTAGTAGTAGTAGTAGTAGTAGTAGTAGTAGTAGTAGTAGTGGCGGTGGCAATAATAATACTCGTAGTGGTAGTAGTCGTAGTCGTAGAAGTCGCAATCGTGGTGGTAGTAGTAGTAGTAGAGGTGATCGTAGTTGTAGTAGTAGGACTACTACTAGTAGTAGTGCGAGGTAGTAATAGTAGTAGCAGTAGAAAAAATAGAGTTCGTCGTAGTCGTAGTCGTAGGCGTAGTCGTACGCTTACGAGCAAAGGGTAATAGTAGTGGTAGCACTGCAGTGGTAGCAGTGATCGTACCTGTACCAGTTCTAGTGGCTGTGATAGTAGTAGTACGACTACTACTACTATAAGTTGGAATCGTAATAGTAATCAACATGGTAATAAGAGATGCGTTCTTGTTCTAGCCGCAGTCGTATCAGTAGCAGTAGCA